CAATCACTTAAAAGGCTCCTAACAAGCCATGGGCGACAATTACAATTATTTACAGTTTTCGAAAATTCAAGTTTTAAAGAAATGAGTTTTTTACCATTGAATTCAGTATATTTGAAGATTTAGGTATATGATATTAACACCAGAAACACTGTAGGATTCGTATTTTATCCGTAAATTAAAAAAATGTTTATATACACGCTGCGTCAAGCCTAACGCGGAGTTGCCAAATCAACAATGTAACATTCCGTCGCTAGTTTCCCTTTTTTAAATTCCGTTCATTGCGCAAACAACCAAATACTTCAATGAATGGAAATACTGTACACTTGTTATTATTATTATAAAATATAATAATGCAATATTTCTCAAAACTACTGCTTCCAACTCGTAATACTCGCTATAATTTTTCTTCAAACGTGCAATGCTTTAATGCATCCTCGTCCCTTTTAACGATTAAGAAAATTCTCTCAAAAATCGCGAAAACTACTCATATTTCAGAAAAATGTAAATGAAATTAATTAAAGAGCTAAATGAAATTACTATTTTCCCATCACCACCAGAAGCGAGACAATTGTCATGCCGTTGAATCAACATTTGTATCCCTGTGTCGTAGAGGACTGCAATAGGTTTCTGTGTGTGACAACCATGTGCAACTCTGTCACTATGATATGCTGACCGAACAGGTCAACACCTCTCATGAGAACCATGGTGACCAGACGTCCGGTTTCCGACCGGACAGTCCAGTTTTCTTCACGTCTGCCCGATTAAGTGAATCTTAGTAAACCGGACAAAAGATTGTCCAGTTTTAAAGAATTTCCATGTAATACCTGACTGGCGTCCAGATATTAACTCAAAATTTCTGACTTAGTGCCAATCAACAACCAACGAGGCAACAAAAGGATTGTACCATAGATTGTAGTTGTAGACTTGTAGGGTAGGAAGATAGCGCGCTGGGCAGCCGCCGCAACCGTAGAGGTTGCACTCACGCATGTCACCGTCACCATCACATGTCACCGTCATGCAAGAGCCAGTGCTCAGTCGGCAGTCGCTATTTTATACAATTAGTTACCGCCTTACAGTTTACGTCTGGATATTCTGTGTTTTGAAATAAATTATAGTTTTTTGTTTACACTGTCGCTTTTCAAACTGAACAAAGCTCAACCTTTCGCCTAACTGCCTAGCAATAAACCTTTATTAAAAGTAGTGGCATCGAATTCTAACGATGTAACTAGTGGTGCTAAAACAGCACGTACTTTTTTACTCCTAATTTCACGCAAAACTACACAAAAAGTACTCATATTTTTTAACATTGTTCATGATCTTATTTCAAAATACATCTTCAAGGAACATATTTCATTAAGGGAAGAAATATCTATTTTTAATATTTTAGTTGTAGGGTGCAATTTTTGAAATATTAGAGTTTTTAACGAACATGAGACCTACATCATTCTCTTAAATATTATTCACACTATCCATCAACAAAAATTAATACACAAAGATGAAGACTTTTTTTTTGAAATTTTTGAAAATGCCCCAGGGGTTTTATGTAAAGTACCCCACAGAATTAAAATATCGGTTTCAAATTCAAGGGGACACGACACTACCAGATCAAATGGAAAATATGAATTTTGGAGAAAAATCGACTGGATGGTTTAGCCGCTAGCGTTCTTCATAAACGGACGAACGGACGTATAGATAGATGTTTCGCCGTCATTCGATTTTTTGGTATCAAGGACTCACAAAACATGAATTCCGGCTACACCATGTGTTAGAGGATATCTTTTTCTAAATTTAGCTACTGGGTTTACCAACTTTTTCGTTACCAGGGCCCTGTAATAAGAGTTTTCTGCTGATAATTCGCCGTTTTTTGGCGCAGCATTACACAACTTTCTCGCTACGGCGTAAGCGGTAGCGGGAAGTTAAAAACTTGTAAACTTTTTTTTTTCATTTTCAGCATTTGTTGTAGCTAATAAAAAAATTGAAACGTCCTGTTTTCTTCAGAGCACATCTGGCAACCGTAAGTGGAACTGCGGCCGAACTGATTGTAAGGATTCTGCCCTATAGTTCGGATCCCCCTCCCCCTCCCTCCCCACAAATTTCCATTTTTTCTTACTCAAGAAATTCCTGTCCGGTCAGCATTAGGCGTATACGCTGCGGTAAAAGTACATCAGAGTGACGCAGAGTTGCAAGAAGCTATGACACCGGTACCTATGTAGTGTACCTATCACACTCTGGTACCCTTGTTATCCTAGGCAGACTTCACGTCAGAAATACAAATGTTAATCCCTCGGTATGTCAAATGTCTCGATTTTGGTAGTGATTATGTGGAAACATGTGCAGTATTTATTTTAAATTTTTAGCAAGAAATTGTGTTTTCTTTTGGCGATTGAGGGAAACATCGTGTATTGCGTTAAGGATGAAATCTAAAACTTAAATATTGGAGGTGTAGTGCACGTTCGAAAAAAGTTTTGCTGTTTCAAACTTTCACGATTTTCAAAAATACAGGTGTTCGCCGAAAATGGGAGCTGTCCCGTTTTTATACGCGTACTTTGGTCTATTCGAGAAAAAAAATGAAATCAAAAATACCCAGAACATCTGAAGGCGCTTACAGCCGAAACAAAATTCTTTCGACCATTTGGGAAACTTGAGTTTCAGACTCGTAACTTTTCTAACGTGTTCGATTGATATAAATAGTTTCCTCTTTATCTAAAAATTATCACCTAAACCTCGACAAATTCGTACCAATTCTTCAAACTCTTTTATTATTTCTTCAAATAGCGAACCCGCTTTAGGCACTACTGCGAACTCCAGATTTTTCTTCTGAGCTACAATTCGCGCAGTTCCAAGTTCAGCGCGACAAGAAAATCGATACCGTCTGCACCGGAGAGTGTCGATTAAGTCTTATCGTGAGCACGATATTCAGCAATTTGTTCCCACCAACTCTATGTTGCCATGTCAAAGAAACCTTGCCCTCTAGATTCGGAAGAATGTTTTGTAGAATTTAGTGAGCATCTTAGAGAAGAATCTATTTTAAGGGGGTTTGTTGGATATTTATGAAAGGCTTTTAGGTGAAAGAGATACGAAATTATATTTTAGCAATAAATAAAGAATATCCAATGATCTATTTTATTTACATCCATTATTAATTGTATTGTAATTTTACTACATTTATTAATGAATTGTCAGTAAAAACCTTACAACACGTTATTTGAGGTTTGTTCTTCGAAGTTTTCGATTAGTTAGAACTTTGTAAATTTTAAATAAATATATTTATTTTTACAACGCCATCTGTATAAGAATCGTTTGTTGGCATCTGACAAAACTGCACATGTACATCGAGCCCCGGCAGTCCAAAATTTCGCTGCTACTCTTGATTGGTTAGCAAAGAATTCTCATTGCTAACCAATCGGAGAACGAAAACGTCCTCTTAAATATTTTTGGATATTATCCCACAACGAAAATAACAAATGAATCCGCGACACTGCGAGAGTGGATAACAAGAGCGGACCGCGGCGATTTCTAGCGGAGCGCTGCGTGGTTTGGCATATAATACTTTGGGAATTATACGTAGCACAGACTCACTGTTGTTTAATACTAATAATCGCTAAAGCAAAATGCCTCTGCATTGTTGCCGACTTGGACTTCGTTTAAATAAGCGTAAACTGTGCCCTGTTTCGAAATGACTCACTTGTGTAAGCCTATAACTTATTAAAACTTATAAAGTTTATAACCTATACTTCGAGTTTTAAAGTGGCCGATAATATTAGGTCATTGATACACCTTCTGCCTCGTAAAATGAATATTTTTAACAGCGGTAAGCACATTTCTGATGCCACAAGTCCCGTTGAGAAGCACGTTTACGAATTAATTTAAAAGATTCATTTTAAAAGGCAGGAAGTGTAACAGTGACGTAATGTCATCGGCCAGTTAAAAAAAATTGAAGTATAAAAGAAAAAATTCGTTAATGGACATTACAACTCCACGTTGGAAATACGAGAGGAACAATAAAGAGCTTGGTAATTCATGCAAAATTCCTCCATTTTCTGTTAAACGATCTAAGTTCCAAATAAACGTAATTAATACAACACTAAAGTACCTAAGAACGGTCACAAGGTAAAAGAACAATTTTAAATGTAACAAAGTTATCGGAGAAAGAAAAAACACACGAATATTGCACAGGGCAAGCTTACGTAAAACAAGTCTTGGAAATTAGAAGAAAATATTCTTTGTCAGTTTTCCGTGAGCAAACCCTGAGATACAAACACTACGGTCAAGGCTACCGCCGTAATTAAATTAAACACTGGGAAACCTCACTCTCAGTGCATCTTCACGGAGAATCCCGTCAGAATTGAAGTCTGGAATACTCAAAGATGTTAAGCCTCAAAAGTACTCGTACTACTATAAATTTATTTTGACACTTTATTTTCGTCTGAGGACTTTTTTCAGCTATGGGGTATACCGATTTTGTACTATCCACGCCGAGTATCTACCATATCCCTCATGAATTCACATATTAACCTTTACACTAGACACTGACTCTTGCGGGCTTCTCGCAGCGGAGGCAGCCAACACCACCTAGACATATCTGGATGTAATCTAGGTGGTGTTGGGTCAGCAGACTCACAAGGAACTCACATACAAGAATACAAGGGACAAACAACCTTTCCCACGGCGGGACTCGAACCCGCGACCCTTCTGACCGAGGCGCTGAGTCAGCATACGCTCTAGCCATCTCGGGCATCTAGGACAGCAATTTATTTAGACACTATTGTTTCATTAGAAATTCAGAGAGTTCCTCGCAGAAGTTACGTTACTATTAATAGCCCACTTAATCCCTTCAAGTAAGTTGTGGCATTACTGGTTGTATAAGTTGTATCTTTGAACACATTTAATTAAACAGTATATTATTAGTTTGTTTTATTTTTATTTAAGAAATAATATACTATTTTTGTTTTTCTCAGTGCCTTAATATTTTCGCTAATTGTGCTTTGTGTTTGCCCCAGTGGTCCCGCTGAATCATGGGTTCGACGTCCGGAAAGTGCAGTAGTGCATTACGACTGGCTGGAAAGACAGCTCTGGTAACGGGATGCAATACTGGCATCGGACTATGTACTGTGGAGGATTTTGTTCGTAGAGGTAAGTGTGGGAATCTTTAGAAAGGAAATGACGAGGAAGTATGCATTCCTAACAGTCATTTTGTCCCTTCTAATTCTAGCCTTGTGGAATATAGTAATTTCAGTAGTACGTCAGACTGAAGCGACTGTTTTCTAAAGATTGAGTTGTATTTAATTAGTTAAGGATTTTGAAATTGAAAATTTAATTTCAAACCATACGTTTGTAGAAGAGTTTTCGCACATTTTATAATCTTTGAAATAGTTAGGTTTTAAGTTTGAATCTCAAATGCATAGGTACAAACAACCAAGTTTGTAAAAATGCGAATCGAGATAATAGGACACAATCATCATCTTTTACAAAAAAGAAGACAACAAACACAAACACTCTTGCCAGTTCGAAAATAAACTCGTGTACATTTCATGTTCGCTTCTTAATTTTATAGATTCTCAGTTAACACTATGAATACTGCCATTTCAAATTTCATTTTATGATATTGCTTCTTATTTTTCATGATGATTTGTGGTTTCGTATTTTAGAGCACATACCGGTGGGTGCGTCGAAGCAACCCTTTTTTAGAATAATCTACGTGTAAATTAACTATTGTAAAAATTACGAGTTATCAGACAAGAGATTCGATTCACTTTAATGAATGCAGTACAACTGAATTTTACATTCAATTATGCATTTCAAATGAATTTTGAATAAGTTATTATATAATTTGAAAGAAAGTTTTTGTTTTTGAAATCCGTATTTTAACCAAAATTAAAATTTGGTTCATCCCATTCATCTAAAGTGACGTTCTCGTAATTTGTTGTCAGAATTTTATAGATATTGAAGACAATGAAGTATGAATTCTAAAAAAGTTCCAAAGTGATATCGAAGAAAGAGCTCAAAGATTGTAATTTGTGAAAGTGAATGACAGAGAAGAAAGAAAGATCTTCATTATATTTACTACTGTATATATACGAATGATAATAGGCAATCTTCAGTTGGAAAAATGTGACGTTAAACTTGGAATGAAGTTGGAGGGCAAAGTTGAAATATTTTAGAATGTAGGCAAACTGTGTGTTACATTTTCCAGATCAAATGGCTACGATTTTCTATAATGTTATTTCGTGACCTGTTGATTACTTAGAGAATGATATTCTCGAATGTAGGCCAGTATCATCAAGAAAAAAAGTTAAGTATTGTAAGACTTTATTGATACAAGGCCAATAATGATTATATAAAATTCTCTATTCAATGTTTTCTATATGGCTATGTTTTTGTCATCAATAATAGTAAAACGTTGCACTAATGAACATAAGAGCAACTGTTTTCTAACAACTTAAATATTATTCTTGTATCTTAAAAAAAATCATATTCGTCGATTAATCCGATTTTTGAATATTTGGAACTTTTATTAATTCGAGTTATCAAGAATTCTAATTTTGGTTAGTAATTGAAGTTTTGAGTAATTCTGATAGTTTGAACATTAAAGTTGGAATTATTCAAATTTTGGGTGCAGAAAATTTTTCATAAATTAACATTTGGAGAACAATTTTTTGTTTGATAAATAGATTTTGGGTTAATTTTTATTTTGAGTACATGTTAAATATTTCAAATTTGAATAAATCTTCTTAAAAGATTGTATCTCATTTTAATAATTAAAATGTTCGTATAATTCCTATTTTGAGAATGTTGTAATTTGCGTATTTCAATTTTGGATGAATTAGTTCTGATATTTGGATTTTGAATATTTCGCGTCGCGGACTGTTCCGTCTGGATCAAATTCGAATCTCTCAACTTGTTCTTGGAGGGCAAGGAAGTAAGTAAGTTTCTGAAGGGCAAGGAAGTAAGTAAGTTTCTGAAGGGCAAGGAAGTAAGTAAGTTTCTGAAGGACAAGGAAGTAAGTTTCTGAAGGGCAAGGAAGTAAGTAAGTTTCTGGAGGGCGAGGGAGTAAGTTAGTCCCCTGGTGACGGCGGTGGTGCTGACGTCGGCGTTGTGTGTAGGTGCGCGCGTGGTGATGGCGTGCCGCGACGTGGAGAAGGCGCAGCGCGCGGCGGAGGACGTGCGCACGCGCACGGCCGACGTGGAGGGCGTGGGCAGCGTGCGCGTGGTGCAGCTGGACCTGGCGTCGCTGGCGTCGGTGCGCGCGTGCGCCAAGCTGCTGCTCGACTCCGAGCCACACATCAACCTGCTCGTCAACAACGCAGGTGGGTCATGCAGAGGCAAGCCGCGCCGCTCGCCTTGCTGGGCAACGGAAATCAAAACGGAATCTCGAGGAGAAAAAATGTAACGGCCCAACTTAAAATGAGCAGTCCTCGGCCAATTATTTATCACAATTATATATCGGATAGCTGGCCTAAACGACGTTGTCAGAGTTTGGCGTAATAAATGTTCAAACAGAACTACTGTAGTGAGGCTATGTTTATTCGAAAGCAAAGCAATTTTGTTTTTGTTGTTGTTATTGTTTTAAAAATTGGCATATTTTGCATCGCAACAATCTTAATGTTTCGCTTAAAAGTATTCATGGCATATTTTGGAGCAATGATTCCAATGGAACTATTTTTTTCCTGACACATTCGGTTACAAACAATTTCACTTTTATACTGAAGATTACTCCAAAATCCGATGTATCTGAATAGGTATATTTCAAATTCGAAATTTTTTTTTCGAATATGTGATAATTCAAATTTTGATTCATTAGAAGTTTTAGCATTTTGAATGTTTCTATTTTGAGAAATTTTAGGAAACTTTTTCACATTTCTAATGTTTAAAATGAAAGTATGATTAATTCCAATTTGGGTATTTAAATTATTGTATTGTTGTAACAATTGTATTTAAATTATTATTGAATGTTAAATTTAAAACTTCATTGCATGTCGTTTAAAGTACAAGAGTTAATTCTACAAACGGGATTGTCAATCCCGATTCGCTGTCTTCATTCTCTCGGATACATTTTCTTCTTCTTTTTCTTTCTCCTTTTCACATCCATTCTTTCTTCCTTCGCACCTTTCCTTTTTAATTGATTTGCTTCCTACCTACCTTCTTCATTTCCGTCGTTCTTTCCTGTCATATTTTTTCCCTTTCTTTTTCGGCTCTGTTCCTTCGTATTTGGTAATTAACTTCTTGATGACCCGGCTGGATAATCCGTCTAGACTGTACGTCACGCGTGTTTAATTCATTTATTTTGTTCTTATTTTTAAGTATTTATTTACTGCCTGTGCGATATTGAGCAAAAATGCAATGAATCGTGTCTTCCCAGGTTTATCGCAGGTTGTGTAGTAAAAACGTGGTGTGGTGCGTGTGTGTGCAGGCGTGATGATGTGTCCCGAGCTCCGCACGGAGGACGGCTTCGAGATGCAGCTGGGCACCAACCACCTGGGCCACTTCCTGTTCACCTGCCTCCTGCTGCCCCGCATACGCGCGTCGGCGCCCGCGCGCATCGTCAACGTCTCATCGGACGCGTACAAGTGTGAGTCACCGCACCACACATCCCACCCCACCTCACACGGCACACAACGAACATCATACAACACAGCGAACCGACAGAGGTGGCTCAGGGCGTCAACTGATGTCACCACAGTGCACGGGAGGTCCTAGGATCCAGTCCCATGGCAGGATTTTCGTTGTTTATCCGATCAATATCCGGCGAATGCTGGAGCAGTACCCTAACAAACGGGCCACGAACCGCGTCGGATCTTTTCTTCTTCTTCCTCTTTGTCTCATCCTCACCCCTCACTTACACACACAGACATATCCACTACACTGTCACACTTGCTGGGAGCTTGTCCCTGCTGGGGCGGTGCCCTGCTGGTGGGAGATACCTTGTTGGGAAAATCCCCGCAAACCGACGCAGGTCGGCGTCGGATCTCGCCAGCCCGCGAGGGGTCACCGCCACGGATCGCCGCTACCTCCTGGGGGAAAATATGCTCAACACTTACGTGACTAATAGCCTTAACAGTTGACGCACCCGGAATCACCAATTAATTAATTAATTAATTAATTAATTAATTAATTAATTATTCAACCATATGTGCCGGGAGCTCACAGCCCGTCCCGAGTGGAGCGGAGCTCCGCGCGGATGATACACGTAAAAGGTAAAAACATCAAGTCGACGTCTAGGTCCGCCCTGGATCACTCGATTCAGCAGGGATGGAACACCGCTGTCTGCATAGATATCACACACTACACTTACAGGGCTGATGATTACACAAGTTCACGTGCCCTCGGAAACACTAAACAAGGAATGCCTCCGCAATTTGGTCCTGGTACTTTGTCACTATCATATTCTCGGCAGTAAAGAAATGAATTGTATCAAAACTAAAATGAAAGATATTTGATTCAGAGCCCCGTGTGCCATCGTCCGGGCCCGCTACGACTATATGACCTCTCCTGCATTTTTTACAGGCTTTTACAAAATGATCCATTTTAGTTGAAGGGGCATGGGGATGAAGGAGGTGGGGGGAGATTTTCTGAAATCTCAAGTGGGATCATTTGTTTTCGAAGGTCAAATATACAAAATGTCAAGATCATAATGAAACAGAAGTAGTATACTAATAGATTACACTAGATCTCGGCTAGATGTCATGTATGTGATTGTTATTCATGTGTAGCATTTCTGAACAGGATATTTTTGTATCTTATCATTTTAAACTCTCTTTCAGCAACAACATTATATTAGTTCCAATCACAGTTTGAATTAATTGAATTATCACTTCTTCAGCAGCATTTAGCTTGAACTTAAAAAAATTTAAATAACCAGAATTGAGCTTCAAAGAATACAAATTTGTATTTTTTCAAACAAATATGCTAATACCCATTATACTTATTTAAAAAATCCAAAATAAAGTAAAATTGCTTTTGGCATACTAATAACTAAATTTACTTTTATTCTCCTACCAGGGGGTGATATTAACTTCGAGAATCTAAACTGGGAGAAGAATTATAATGCTCGTGTTGCATATGGACAGAGCAAATTGGCCAATATTCTTTTTACACAAGAATTAACAAAACGCCTAGAAGGTTAGTTCAAAAGTTTATATTGTTATTATCATTAAAAAAATTTAATTTGATGACTTTACTTTTCCCAGTCTAGTTTGAGAGCAAGAACTCCTGATATGAAATAAAAACAAATTGAAGTGTTTCAAATTTTGTTTTAATTTTATTTTGTTTTTCATGAAATTCAGAATTTACATTTTTCATTGCTCAGATTATTCATTCGTTTCTATCAGTAGTCTCTGAAAAATTGTTGTAAGTGATATTTACACTTAGTACATTAGTTGCTTGGATCATTTATTTTATTGACTTCCTTTTAAGCCGCTGGTGTTACCGGTGTCACTACGTACAGTTTACATCCTGGAGTTGTAGCTACAGAACTGGGTCGCCACTTGGATACCACATACTTCAAAGGTCTACGGTGGTTCTTTCGCACTTTTGGAAAGTTATTTATTATAACTCCTGAACAGGGGGCTCAGACAAGTATTTACTGCTCAGTTTCTGAAGATGTAGCTAATGAATCAGGTCACTTTTACCGGTGAGTATTTCAAGTCATTTTTGCTTCACACCAATATTTGTTAGTAGGTACCATAAGTATAGAAAATTAATACTACTTCTTCATGTTTATACTATAATAATTACCAGATCTACTTCTACATGTTTATACTATAATAATTATCAGATTACATGAATGAATGAAAAGTATACAAATTAGAAACAATACAAATTAATTTACTATATGCAGAAGTTCTACAGTTTTGTTAAGAATATTTTGCATGAAGTATTTCAATATGCATTTTTGTTACAGTAACTGCAAAAAAGCATCGCTTTCTTCAAAAGCACAGAATCCTGAAAAAGCAGCAAAACTTTGGGAGGAAAGTGCAAAGCTAGTTAATTTGGGCAACTGGGATCCTTTCACTGCCCAAGAGGTACCTGAAAGTGCCCTTTCAGTTCCGCCGAAAGATAACTAGTAGTGTTAAATGAATGTGCCTTTTACATTTTTTAAATATTTTATCAGTGCAAATGTATTTTTCACTGCAATTTATTTAAGAATGATACTTGATGTTATTTATAAGCCTGTGATAAATTTTACAGAAACATTACACCCAATTTTTCCATGTACTTCTTCACTAAAGAATGATTGTTAAGTGGAATAACTTGAGTTTAGACATCAAAGCTAACTAAATGTTAATGATGTTTTCTTGATATTCTTTAAAACCTTGTTGAAGTCGCAGTTTATGTGATTGAGTTATTAATTACACAATAATTTCAAATCCGCGATCCTTCGATCTCAGATCGCCACAACATTAATGCCTCGGCTAATCTCGGCTATGCGAATCAACTGTCAATTAGTAGTGTATACTAATCTATCAAGAGACTGGAATATTTTTTTCCTTTCATTTTTTTTCTAAAAACGATGTTTTAAATTTCTTCTTCACACACATAGACACTTAAATAATACAAAATATATCATAAAATGGAAAGAAATTAGTTTTTAATATCACTTTTTATAGACTTTTTTTCATTTAAGAGTTATTTCAAAAATGTTCAGAAGCCTTCTTTGTGCTCATGAACTTTTTCATACCTTGTGCATATGCTTTATATCAGGAATCTTTTAAATACTGTTTCTTCAAAAAATTATATAAGATCCTTTTGGAATTTTCTTTGGGTATGTATGAACTTTGTGTATGTTTCCAAAACACAAGTGTATGTGTTGGAAATGTTTCAAAAATGCAAATGCATATTTATTATATTGTCATGAAGATCAATGTGTTCTATGATAAAGTTATAGAAACAAGCACATTCCAGAATATGCCCAGTTTACAATTATCCATTCACAGAAAACATTCATTAGATACTAAATATTTCATTAATTAATGTTCCTAAGATAATGTGTGTTAACTTTGGTTCTAGGCCACACCTCAAATAATTTGAGGGAAAAACTTCTGTAATTTACGTGAGAACACTAAGAAATATGTCAATGTATTTTTTTATTTTTATAGTTATATCAATAGATACATGCTTTTTTTGGAAATAAATGTATTTTCTTTTCAAGACACATGGTAATCTCACATTTATTATTAGAGACCAATTACTTCAAGCTTTCAGCCAACTCTCCTTAAAATCATCAATATAATTAAAAATAAGTAAAATTTATGATGATTCTGGAAAATTACTAGAAGACGACAAAACATTCAACACAAACGGAAAAATGTAAACAGATTAGTAAAAAACAAATTGGATCTCAACATATTCATTAAATATCAAAAATTTTTGAAACAAATTCATCCAGCTTCATGTCACAGGTGGCTGACAATACAAAGGTTAAAGGGCAGAATTCATATATCAATTCATATAATAACCATTGTGGATTCTAATGAATGTATTTTCTACGCTAACCTACTTGTGAATGTATCCTTCAACTTAAAAATTGATGATTATTATGATTCCCCCTTTTTTTGGTACCAAATATTGTAAAATAAATGTTGGCATATGAAGCAAGAAATCCAGATAAAGATTGAAAAGCATCGGGACTTGAGGCAAAAAATTTTCAAAAACTGGAAAGGAACTAAAATATTCTTAGGAATAACAGCAATACTGAAGTGGCTCTTAGTGGTACTATCTGAATCTTTGATAACTGTCACAATATTTCTCAACTGCAGAGGGAAAACTCCACACTTCCTTCTAGCAATTGTTCCATTCCCAATAGCAATGTTGGGTAAACCAGGAAGCTTTTTTATTCAACATTATAAATCTTTCAGAAAAATGTTTATTATATTCTTAAGTACTATCGCCAAGAGGTGACACTTAGTTGTTATTAAATGTAAAACATTGACAAAAATGTCATTATTATTAATTTTTGTCTTGTAAAGAAAGTGTTTCTTGATTTATCTCCACTTCCCAATTTATCCAACATTCCTGTATTAAAATATTAAACAAATTCCTAACAGAAACCTGCCCAGTTCTAATTATGGAATTTCGATATAAACAAAATCCCTAATCTCGTGAATGGCACAAGAATTTCTTTTCAAGAAACATTCACTACTGTGATTCTTAATACTGCTCAAGTCTTTGATGAAGAAGGGATCAAGGGCTTACTTTACAACAAAGAAAATTTAGATTGTATATACAATTTAATAAAAACGTTTTTTCAAATAGAAAATTCCCTGTAAGAATTCACTGTGAACTTTTCTTACTACACCAAATTCTAGCACAAGTGTCACAGATCTCTCCTGGAGTTCACCACTACCTCCAAACTTATCCAACTGTTTTCTTGCTAATTATACAGACACATATAGCAGTTGTTACAGCCCTTTTTACCTTTACATGCAAACATAAACACTGCAAATACAAGCCTTCAGGATGATTTTGCTACCCATTCCGAGGACAAAGATTGGGGATACAACTTGAAATCGCTGATTTACCAACATAACTACAACATAATTTTTCAATTACAAAACAAAACTCTAAGCAGAGAGCTCATAAAAATTAGTCCCTGATGTGGTTATAAGTGTCAAAGAGGCTTTATCTCATTTTCCTCCTCCATTCTCTTCATTTTTCACTCTCATATGTCATGTTATGTTGTTCATTATCACTATGTAATCAAAAGCAAGAAAATGTACACAAAATATCTCAAAATAGAAAGCATGCTCAAGCAGAACATGTCCATGCTGAGATCCATTGCCTCTTCAGCATCATTGACCTTGAAGTCTTAGGGTTCAAAGTCCAGAAAGTAGCAGATTTTTGCACTAGCAGGCCTTTTAGAATTAAGTGAAGTTAAAATAGTCAAAGAGTGCATTTTCTTGTCCACCAGTAGTGAAAAATAGTGGGTAGAGAAAATAATAAGCATTTTTAAAGACGTAATGTTAATTCATGAAAAAAATATCTTTTTTAACTACATTAATTCTAAAAATTCGTTCTTGGAATTCAAAAAATTGTTTGTTTCCAAGTTGATAATTTTCTAAAATACCAACTATTTGAGACATTCAGAAAGTAAGCTTCCTTAGGTCATCAACAAAAAGAAAATGCTATTTCATGGAAAACCTGTTATTGTAGAAGACAGAGCACAAGTACTATTTTCCCACATAATCATCACCAGAATGAGATATTTGTCATTCTGTGGGATAAAAATTTGAATCCACGGCAGTCCAGATGATAGGGAGGGGGAGGGGGCAGCTGGAGAAACTTGCCCCAACTTAATTTGGGCCTCGATTTTTTTTATTCAGAATAAATATTAATAGTATTTACTACTGATTAAATTTAACTGCAATAGTTATTAATGTTGTTTGGAGACATTAATTGTTATGTAGTGGTGAACATAAACTTTTGTTTGAAATAAGTGGCCCGCGTGGATCTACAACCCCAGGTCTCTTGTTTTCTTGGAACACCTTATTTTAAGGCTCCCGGCGTGGAATATCCGCAACCTACGCGGAATGGCCGCAGCGGAAGTTTCGCGTCACGTGTTGCCAGGCACTTGCTGACCTACTCGGCAGGTGAGCGTCACGGCAGCGGATTGGCAGCGTTTAATCCGCGCGGCGGATTTTGTAACGCAGGCGGATGCGGTTTTTCCGCTGCCGCTCGTGTTTCGTGGATGTCCTCCCGCCTTTGGGAGTTATTGCTCCTCTCTGGGACGAGATCCCTTACTATCGCTCAGAACTCTGCCGTTCGAGTTTCGCTGTGGAAACCAAGGCAAGGATTCGTCAGATGTCAAATATTTTCAGCTCGCCAGTGAATCTGACACGACTCAACAGTCAGAAACATACTTCTAATAGTGTTTAGTAATTTAATTAATTTAAAATAAAATTAAACTTCGATTTTGTAATTTTTTGCCCTTAAAATTTTGTACATTTTAGTAATGTCAAGTAGTAATTAACAAGTAGCTCTGATGGAAAATCGTAGATAAAAAAACGTAAAAGAACAGTACCGCATGTGCTCAGAAAGCATACTACGAGTATTGCTATTTTCTATGAATAGAAGCGAGATGTTTTGTTTATCAGACGAGAAAAACTGTCACAAACCGCTGAGTCATAGCTGACGCTCCGGAGTGATGGTCCCGCGGATTTCGTTGCCGCGTCAAGCGCGCAACTTTCTGCTTGCCTACCGCGTAGGTCTGCAAGTGTCTGGCAACACGTGACGCGAAACTTCCGCTGCGGCCATTCCGCGTAGGTTGCGGATCTTCGCACCCACTGCGGATGTTCCGCGCCGATCTGCCTTTACACAGCCTTTCATACAGGACTTGCCAACTCAATGCTCTGTAACGTCACAAAAATCTGCTCTCCTGTGGTCTTAATCGGAGAAATCTTGGAAAACCACCGATCAGGGGAGCCGGCCGCTAGAATTCTCCTCTTGCCAGCGTTGCGGCTGAATTCGATCTAGCAATTGCTAGTGTCGAAAATTCTTCCACCGTCGTAACTCGAACCCTAGGACCTCTCAGGTAAACTGCTGCACGACTGTTGTGAGCCGAGTCGTGTTTTTTCATCCTACACTGTCTAGTACAATGTACAGTCCACTAAGATGACCTTGAACTGTCGATTTCGTCTACCATAATCATTATAATGCAGCATTTGGGATATAATACTACCATTCGTAACATCCCTTCCCGGAGTGCTGATGTACTTCTCATGAAGGCCTTCTTTACCCGCTCAGCGCCTCTTCGAACTCGAGAACCCATTGGTCTATCCCGTGTTTCTTTCCGAATGTTAAAGTTGCCAAACTACAAATTCCAGCTGTGTTGACATTTTTCTTAATATTATTACATTAGGGTTCAAAAAATTATAACTACAAGATTACATAAACTGTTAAAATAATAATTCAAGAAAATTTTGAAAAAAAATGAGAATAGTGTTTTCACAGAAAAAAATGAGCCAAATAAAGGTAATACGAAAATAGTTCAATAAGTCAGTCGTTGAGAGATCCGCACTAGCTACATAACTAGATCGAATTGAGAAGTAGAGAAGTCTAGTGGCCGACTACCCTCATCCATAGTTTTCTACCGTTTCAGTTATCAATGCCCGCTGAATGGCATCGCAATAACAAACGGACTGGGCCCGGTTGCGCCCTTACTGACTGTGCACGGTTATCCTTGTACTTGCCCCGTCCTTGTTCTAACCTCTGTTCTTACACACACACACACATACACACACACTCACATACACACAAACACACATCCACTCACATCCACTTACTGACAATCCCATGCACTACAATATCACACAATGTGGAAGACCAGTCAGGAGATAAGAGACGTTCCGGAAACACAAATTTTTTGCCCATAGTACGGCCATCAAAATAGCCAATCTCTCCTTTCCTTTTCCATTTAGCGAAAGAGAACAAGATATTGTGCACGAATTGTATATACAGAGTCAGTTGAAAAATCTGAGTTAATGCAATGATGCTTCAGCTATGGAAATCGGTTTAATAGTTTTGTTATGTAATTTTATAATAAACATTAGTAAGGTTGGCGGATTTTTATTCACTTTTTTGAGATCGCATTTGTTTTCTGGGAGTTTATATTAGTCCAACAATAACAATAAATTAGTCCAAAATGTAAACAAAGAAATTAAAGTGGCAAATACTCTCACGAAACAGAAAATAATGAAATTTTGTCTCATAGAAAATACCAAGCTGCAACGAAAGCTGTGAATATGGGATTTTTACAGCAATGTAAATGGTTGAACATGGGTCTTTTCAAGTGCCTTATTTGGTGTCCTTATTTTGATGATTTGGATTGAGCGCAAACATGCTCAGAACAAGCATAATGTTTCTGGAAAACAACACATAGCATCTCGTGTTTATAAAAAAAATAACTTATTCAAATCTCTAATGCACAGAAAAAAATATAAATAATACAAACAAAATTTGCGAGTTAAGAAAAAACTAAAGTTATACGCTAACATCGTTTTGTTTGGTAAGTATCATAGCAAGTTCTGTATTGTGTACAAAGGTTATGTAAACATTCGTCATAAACTTATTTTTACAGTTCAGTTGTGATATCTGTAGAATAAATGTAATTATTTCTGCAGTAGTATAATCATCTGTACAAGTACGATACTTTTATAATTGTTCAT